TTTTTTTTTCTTTTTTTTTGGGAGAGATTAAGAATTGGTAGAAACCTCCGCGGCACGTTGTCTCATCATCTCCATAACAGCTGCTCTTCGTCTGGAATCAGATTGTTGTTGTAGCCTTCTCATGTGCTCCTTCAAGTCTCTGCACCAAAAATAATAAATAGAAAATAAAAAAAACAAAATAATAAATTGATGAACGTTCTTTCAAATTCGGGTACTGACCTGCATCTCGGAACATTGCACTCAGATTCTTTGCACGCACGAGCATGAAGTTGAAGAAGGTACCACATTTTCTTGCAGAGCACACACCCACCAGAAGCACGAACTTTGCACAACATACCGTGCCGGAAAAGTCCCTTAACCTTTCGACAGTTTGGATATTGACAGTGTGGCGAACGACATTGAGAGGCGTGCACCAGCAGCTCGAGCATTTTCCTCAGCTGTAAGAAGCCAAACAACAAAAGCTACGTCTCAAAAAACCATGCCGTAAAATTATTACACTACCATATATATCCCATCATGTAACACAACCGGTTAAGGAAAACATGCATCTCCACAAACTTCTAAGAAAATACATCATAAAATATTTGGTTGTAAAGTTAGCCAGAGTTAATTTTGAAATATATCCGCTCACAATAAGTTTTTTTTTTATTATTTTTTTTGTTAACCAGAGTTAATTTTGAAAAAATTGGTACGATTAGTTGTTAGTGGGATTTTGAAGTTATATTAAGATAACATCTAAAATAAAATAATTAAAGTTTATTTGATGTAAAAGTAGGAAAAAGATGATGTGAAGAGATGGTTAGTTAAAGTTATGTGAGTGAATGAATAGTAAATTAAAATTGATATGATGTGTAAGAATTATTGATTGATAATATTTAATTATATTAATAATATTGAAGATAGTGGGGTTGAGTTAAATTTGAGTCAGCGTTTGAGTAATGAATTGAGTATGAATTGGGTAAATTTATAAACAAACACACACACAAAATATCCTTACTCTTGAATGCAAATCGAATCGATTTTTGTGCTTTCTTATTTCTTTTCTAAGATGTTAATAGTGAGAAATGCCTGATAAAAAATCGAATTATCACTCACCTGCATGACTCGTAATTGTCTAGCTTCCTTGTTCTGTGCATCCCGGTCGTTTGATGGATGATTCGTCAATTTATGAGGATGATCAATTCCTCCATCCTTCGAATAACACGCGTTGCACACATCATAGTCAGGACAAGTCTCGCATCGCCAGCCTTGTCCGGTTTCGATGTCCAGGTGGCACACATTGCACGTTGTCACAAAAGCTGGTGCAGTAGGGTTATGGAGATGATAAAGAACCATCATTGACGAGTGTTTAGCTCGACGGAGAGTATCATACTGATAGTGATTTCCTTGACAAAGGCTTAGGAATGCCTGCCTCGTGTCGAAAAATTCGCTCTCGAGAATTTCATCTCTATCTTTCGTATCCTCGGGGACTCCCGTGGTTTCAAACTGCCATTTTTATAAAGTTGCTTGCTTGAGAAGCTAACCAGGATAATAAAGAAAAAGAAAAGGAAAGAAAAGAAAGAACAAAGAAAAAAAAAAACCAAAAGAACTAATTCTATGGAGTATGTACTTACGGGATAGAGTGGATGTTTGTCTTTGTGGTGAATGGGATGCCTCTCTCTGTCTTCACGTTTTCTCTCAGCATCGTAGCATCTGAATTCAAAAGAGATACATACGATTGGTCTAGTGGCTTAGTAAAGATAACTTCTCAAAAATCATACAAAACAATATCACAAAACGTCAATCCACAGTATATTTTGACCAATTATAATAATCAGTCATAATCCTTTATATTCAATCATAAAGAGAAAAGGGGTGGGATAAGAAAGAAGGAAAATGTTAGAACGACAAAAATGTATAAGATTAAGACAAGAAGTTCCTACTATGTCAGGACAAAAAAATGCACTGAATCCTTACTTGTCACAGAGCTGGAAGTTTTTGCACTGTTTGCAAACCCAACGATTTCCACAAACAATTAACACGCAGCAGTGTGTGCAAGCATGCTGTAGGTGAACCATGATAAAGTCTTCCTTCATTGGCGATATAGTCTCACCAAGCTAACGTAAAACAAATTAAAAGTTTTAAAACTCAAGCATTATAATAGATAAATAGGTTAGCTGCACTTCAACAGAGCAGTTAAGGACAAAGATTGTTTAGTTTACTTTATGCATTAGCAGAATATCCTTTGATGCATTTCCGGAGAGATCAGTTTGGCCGGATGCCTTTAGAGCTCTTTTCGTAATGGTTTTTTTAAACATTCCCTTCTTATTCTGTTTTCTCCCTTCCTCTTCTTGTTGTATCTGAAAGATCATGTCCTCTGCTGCACCAGGCCAATAATCTCCATCAAAGTATGGCAACCGAGCTGCAGTAACCTTTGCTTTACATTCACCGGTGGTAACAAAGAAGTGGTCATACAGATTAGTAAGTTCAACAACGATATTTTCCTTAGCAGCTTTCCTTAACATGGCTAAATACCTGAAATGAAAATTGCAATTAAAGTAAGAGAAAGAGAGAGAGAGAGAGAGAGAGAGAGAGAGAGAGAGAGAGGTAATAGCAACTTAGTGTTAATCACCAGAAACATAATTAGAGGCCTGTCATAACTTACCATTCCCGCAGTTTATCAGATTTTGGTGTCTTCTGAATTTCTGGGTGGCAATATAAAATGTAGTCTTCCCCTTTCAATGGTGGGCAAGCCCAAATGTAGCAGCTTGAAAACCCTCGTTTTTTGCAGTATTCTAAGTATCCAATCTGAAAAAGATGAATATTACAACAAACAGAAGAAGCATAAGTTAAGTTCATAGACAAAAGAGTCAGATACAAGTAACAAGGTTAAAAGAGAACGCAAAAGACCAATTGATCACTTTGTATATTCTTTTTTTCCCAACTTTTAGCTCTGAAAAAAAAAAGAAAAAAAAAATTATAAGCAACAAGTTTGGACACTTGCCAAAATTTCATGGTACACGAATGTCCGAAGGGCCTCTCCTGTCACTGCTCTAACCTCCGGCCTGAAATACTTGACCGAGTCCAAGTAAGACAGGTAGACTCGGCGATGATTTGGCTGTTCACATTCAGCTCCAAATTCTTGAACATACATTCCGAATAAGCATACTTCAACACCTTCAATTTTCTGAAACAATAGCACCACCTGGCAGACAGGAAATATACAATATATTATTTTCTTACAATATAAGAATAACAAGCAATCCAGTTATCTCTTGCAATTCACACGCTCAGCAATCATGCACCAACCACCCACTTTCAGAAGTAAGAAATAAAAACTGAAACAGCACCACTGAGGAATTATTAATCGATGAAAATGCTGGTACAGGTTAAACCTGACTTCTGTAGATTCACAGAATCACAAATGAAAAGTTTCACATTCAACCAAATTTTAATTGGCATCCGTCCTATCTTTTCCCATAATAACATCAGTAACAAGTTAATTTATTCGGCAGAAAATATGTGTAATCTGTCCCAAAGTTTTTATAGCTAAGTGGACTAAATCAGGGCATCATAATCTTATAGCTGGAAATCTGCACAAACATAAGACGCACCTTGGACTTGTATGGATACTCAACAGGATAGTTTTCTTCCTGGAAAATTTCAAGAAACCGTGGTTTAACTTCCAGCTTCTTGTCTACAGATGACACCACTCGTATAACCAGTGATTCAGCTCCAGGAACCTGACGAAGTGGCATAATCATATAATTATATCAAACTATCAAGAAGAAATAACAAAAATTCATAATAGTACTGAAACTGATAAAGGATGATTCAAAATATTATTGTTGTCTTGGAGGGCAAATTCAAAACCATCGGTTCAATGCACTGATGAAGAAAATCGGTTCACCAATAGTATTTATTTACCATGGCCAAAGGTGAAACAGAGGTTGCAAAGGTCCTAATAATTTTTTCAAGAAACATCCCAGGTAACCATATCCTTCTGGATAATTGAAAGATGAAAATACATTATGCAATACAAGTAAAAGGGATCACCTCATCATAACTTTTGCCTTGTACTCTTGCTCTCTCCATCCTTTCTTGCTTCAACTTTGCAAATAAACGTTGCTCCATGTGATCACTCAAAATCGTTCTCGGCAGATCCTTAGCTCCTAGAACAGCACTCTGTGGCAATGGCACGCGTTCACCTCTTTCAACTTCTTCTATATAACAATTCGGACAAGTGTACTCGGCTTGGCCACCATCATTTCTTCTCCCATTGAATAATGCACATATTTGATGTTGCCAAGCTTCACATTTGTCACATTGAACCCACTGCAAAAAAAAAGATAAAATATTTAGTATGTCTATAAATTGCTCATGTCCGAACAACATCCGACGTATCTGACATACCCATTCTTCAGTTTCTTCATCATTTTTCTTCTTTTCCATTCTTGCCTTTGGAATAGCAGACCCATCAACTGCAATGGTGTCACCACGAGTCTCATTATAGCACGGAATGCAGAAATAATGGCGAGTTTCACCAGCTCCAATGGTGTAATACATATGATTCCTCTTAATGCGAGCACCACAAGGTGTACAATATATAGGAGGTGGTTCAAAAGTAAGCTTCTCAACTGCACACAACTGGCAGGAATTCTCACTCATTGAGTGCTCCATTGCTTGATTTTTCTCTGCTTTCGCTTTGCTCTGCAAGGGAAAACAATAAATTTCGGAAGAAAAATCAATCACCCACAAACAAACATGATAGTAAATCAAGATGCGAGAAAAGGTGAGGGCAGACAAAGAAGGAACATTGCAGACAACCAAAAGGGCCTTGATGCAAAAGACGAAAGTACTGAGAGTCACAATGGCTTAAATAAATTGCATTAAAGAATCAGTGGGCCACATAACAGCACAAACTTGGAAAAAGACTGTAATAATCAAAATGTGAGGCCATAAACTTTATCTTCCCATCCTGGAAGGATGACATAACGCACAAGAAAAAAAAAAACATTCATGTTAAGACAGTAGCATTATACAAGGTCGAAGCCAGCACAGGAATTAATTTATAACTAATATACCTATATGACTATCAGGAAGTAAAAAGGGAAAGATTCATTACTCAAACCTGCATCTACCAATCCATTATTTAATGTTATAACATGATAGCTGATAAAATTTGAAATAACAATTAAGAATCAGCTGCTTAAACATGATAAACGCTCCCAGTCTTACAACTTTTTTCCTTGGTTAGCTGAATTATAAATCCACCTGAAGATAAATATGTTACATTACGCAGATAGTAGCACCCAGGCCTTTCTATTGGACATGAAAGCTGAAAACTGAAACGTTCGTTTATCATCACAATAATGCAAATACAGACAACACAAAGTAGATAAGAGATAAGGGTGAAAAGCTGACCTGGCCTACCCACTGTCGAAGACCGGTAATGTGTTGCCGGACTTGTTCAGGGGTGAACAACTCCATCATTGATACACCCTTTATTTTTGGCTTCCCAGACTTCGAGATACTCTCAGAAGGTAAAGGCAGATTTTCCATCTTAGCCTGCCCCATTTCCTTCTCATTCTTAACGACCTCCTGTGTAACAAAGCCAGCAGAGGTTTTGGATGCAGTAGGATCGACTTCTGGCCTTTGGTTGTAAGAATCTACCAAGTTATCTTTTTTCATTTCGATTTTTTTGGAACTTAATTGCTCAATACTCCCCAATGCTTCCATCTTCACTTCAGCAGTTTCAGATTTCATTGGAATATGTGAATCGTGATGCTGTTCGGAATGCTGTGCACCCTGTAGAGGAGTTTCGTTTACAGCAGAAGCTAGGAAAGCAGAAGTTTCACTTTCAGAAATAACGGACTGGGGTCCTTGTTCGATCTTCATCCGCTTAATAGAAGGCTGTAGATCTTCAGGAGTTACAGCCACCGTTGGGCTCGACTTAGGAACTTCAGCACTCTCAGACGGTTTACAAGCACCGTTGACAGAAGCATGCAATCTTGAACCGAAATCAGCACGAGCAATTGCCTTTAGTTGTGCCTGTTGCACGAAATTCTTAACAGGAACACATACCGGGCAGCTAGTATCGCGACATCGTCTATGATGGTTAACTAAGCCTCGAGTTACACGGCAACGAGGATATGTACACTGAAATACATTGCAATCCTCCATATGTTCCAATAGCTTCTGAACAGTTAAGCAATTAGACTCTTGACATTTTCCTTCCGGGGCCGGACATCGACGGGCATGTCTTAGAAACAACAGCCATCTCTGCTGATTCTTGAACTGCTTCTCGCGATCAAGGTTGTTATTAGGTCGACACGCAGCATTGTTCCCGTCGTTGGGTGGTTCTGCTGATCTGGAAGCATACGATTGGCCAATCATAGACTCTTCAGATGACAAATTATTCAGCTGAGCAACATCTTGCCCATTTATTTTGTTATGAAATTCCTCCTGTACATTTTGATCAAGTGGGAGTCTCTCTGAGACATGAGACCATTGGCCCCGTATTGCCATTTCCTGCGGAACAGAACCAGAAAGACCAACCAAATCACTCTGAGAGTTGGGGGCAAATTGTTGAGGATTCAACATTTGTTGCATCTGATTTGGAGTTTGAGCAAGTGAATAACTGACATCCTGTGACCCAGGTTGATGTGAAATCAACTGATTAACTCTCAAACGGTCCTCCATAGGATTCTGCTGAAACTGACTCTGCATATCAGAGAACTGAAAGGGGTCAGAGACTTGTGTCAAAAGACCTTCATCACGAGGTCCTGTCTCATTATTTGAAGAGAACTGGTTTTGACGTTGGATCTGATGCTGGACCAGCTGCTGGCATTGTAACTGATGAGACGGTTGTTGAAATTGTTGATGTTGATGATTGGGTTGTGCAAGATTATCTCTACCAGAAAATTGTGGTTGAAAATTCGTTTTTTCAGACTGATCGATTAATTGAGGCTTCATAGTTGTCATCGACCGAGTCTGAGTGGGGTGCATATTTGACCGACTATTAATCATCAGCGAGGATGTTGTTTTTGACAGATTTTGCATGGACATGGCATTCAAATTCTGATTGTTCATCATTGACCCGACAGATGATGCAGGAGCATAAAGGTTTCCAGACACTGAAGCATCATTAGCACCAATTCCATATCCATCACCTAAAAGTTTACAGTGAGAATAAACTTAAAAAGCTCCAAGGCTATTAAATAATATAATCTACTGAAAACACACCCAAACACATGCCCTTACCCTGTGTTACTGGCTGCTGATGTTGGTCAAATTGTTGATGCACGGGTTTGATGGTGTTTCCATATATTGTTCCAGATAAATATCCCTCAGTTGTTCCTGGACCATTCATCATCGACATATTGTTTCCCATCATTCCCAACCCTCCATTTATTGTCCCATTTGACAATCCATAGGACTTTTGCTGCAATGTAGATCTAATCCCACCACCCATATGGACACCAATATTATGTAAAATGCGACTGTTTTGTCCACCAGCGCGCTGCTTTTGTTGCATAGGCTGTGATACAATCGAAGGTTCAACAGCTGGATATGCGCCAATGTTACTGGACGGCTCCATATTCATGAATGATTGATTATTCAAATGGTTGTTTATTTCATTATTGTTGGAATTACTATTATTATTGTTACTATTAAATCCAGGAGTAGGGATCATCTGACTCGTCATTCTCGGTACACCCATCGATGTCACCATGTTATTTCCCCCATTATTCATTGAGAAAGCGGAAGACTGCTGATATCCACTGGTGAAAGCTCCTGAAATTTAAATATTTATGTCACATGTTGAATGAAAGGGCAAGTCAAAATCATTAATACAAATCACAAAGACTTCTTAAAGTACCATCAGATGTACCGAATGAACCACCATGCATATTGCCAGAAGAAATTGTATTGGAAGTGTTATTAACAAGAACAGAGCTAGCTACAGACTGGGTCCCAGCAATGCTAGATTTTCCTGTTTGCTGCAATCCGGGAGTTGGGATCATTGTACCAACAGAAGGAGAAGAGTTAACATGTGATGAAAACTGCTGGTTGTGATTGCTCATAGGTAGACGTTTTATCAGAACATGCAAACGGGTCTCTAAAGTTGCAAGGTTGAGATATTCCTCCTGAAAAAACAGAAACCGAACAAGATAATGCACAAACCAAAACAACACAACAGAAAGTATCAACTTTACTTTAAAAGTTAAAATTCAACTATAAATATTTTAATGCATACATCACATAAACAAAGCATGTTTTTTTTTTTCGGAAAGGGCTATACAAACAACAACAACAACATACCCAGTATATTCCCAAACGGGTTGGGGTCTGGGGGTCAGTTGTACGCAGACCTTACCCTTGTAATTATACAAGGAGGCTGTTTCCGTAGCGACCCAAGGTGCATTGCGTCGTTTGGTATATTTTTTTTCTAGAGACTTCACTAATAGAAGAAGCACTAGAATTTAATTGAGCCATTTTGATTTAGACCATTATTAGCACTATGCCAGAAGAATTGTCAACAATGACTCTTCCAGCTCCATTTGCAATGGCTATACATCAACAACATCAACATACCTAGTATATTCCCAACGGGTTGGGGTCTGGGGGGTCAGTTGTACGCAGACCTTACCCTTGTAATTATATAAGGAGACTGTTTTCATAGCGACCCAAGGTGCGTTGCGTCGTTTGATATATTTTTTTCTAGAAACTTCACTAATAGAAGAAGCACTAGAATTTAATTGAGCCATTTTGATCTAGTCCATTATTAGCACTATGTCAGGAGAATTGTCAACAATGACTTCCAGCTCCATATGCAATGGACATAATCAAGATAAAAATATATCAAGATAAAAATATAAAATTAACCAACCGTTGTCGTGGCACTCTTGAACAAGGCCTCTTCTAGACGTTTCACTAAATCAAGCATTTTCTTATTAGGCACGTCCTGAGATTGTGGCCGGCGCTGCATAAGAAATTCCCAGCTGAATAGGAGCAAACCAAAAGTGTCAGTAGTTATTGAATATAACAATGAAGCCTTTAACAAGAAGAGATGAAGAAGGAGAACATAATGTTAAAACAGCAGCAACAGAATGATGTGATAACACGAGATAAAAAGTATCAAGTCCAAATATATAGATACCTAAAGCACCATAACAAAATAGAAATTGAGAATGAGTATGGTGATGTATATTTACATCTAAGGAAAGCAGAATATAACACTCGTGTAAAATAGAATAGCACTTACATCTTTTCTTGCATATATCTGCGAGTTTTCGCATATTCACCGTCCGCATTTGAGACACCACGATGAACATTAGGATTTTGCATCTGCCCAGATATAGAAATTCCATTTTGCTGTGGCAACCCAGGCAACATAGTACCAGCTTGGTTCGATACCTGCCCTGATATCTGCCCTGAATGGTGCGTTTGAAAATTCATTTCTTTATTTGTGCTAACAGATGTGTAATTCATAGAGCATAAAATCCATCAAATTAGTTGAACAGATCAGCTGTATTGAACGAAATTTCCCTTGACACGAGCAGCAAGAATCCCAACTTAGCCAGAAATCTGTAAAATAAAGCTTCCAAATTTCAGGGATAAGACTAAATTAGGAATCGGTGCAATTGTGTTTTAGCTGGAACTCAGGAATTATTGCATACTACATTGAGCATGCAGTCCTCTTCTCAACAAGAGGCAGCAAAAACCATTTGTGAATGAGAGACATTTCATATGCGATCGCAAAAGAAAGACATACCAATCAATTTGCGAATGTATATATTATCATCCCCGTTCGATGAGCACTTAAATGTTAGCCTATAGTGTCATGCCTCAAACTAACTCAAAGTCTAGCATAATTCTAAAAATAATTCACACTCCAAACTAACTTAGTGATGAAATTGAATTTAAAGAAAAATTTAAAGAAAAAATACCAAGACACTGAGGATGTCAATCACAGAAGTCGCATTAGAAGACAAATTTCCAAATCAGTTGAAATACAAAATTATAAATACTAAATAGTGCCTCTTTTTCACCAACACATACTTAAAGTTGACATGTTCCCGAACGAATTACAAAACTAGATGCATCACCGTGACAAGACTAGACCTATGGCCATGGACACAAACACAATGACAAACTGCATTAATGTTTCACACCTAAGTGATAAGAGTCCCAAAAGTTATGGTATAAAAACTGACCAACAAAATACAAACACCAAACTCAGCATAGACAAAAAAGACACATCAGAGACATATTAGTAACACGTGACTAAATCGAACGAAATAGCAAATATTAAACTTTACAATAAAAATAGAAACTTCCCACATTATGTCATATTAGACCAGATGAAAGGTAAAATTTTACATTAATATCTCTATGAGGTTACATCAAAGTCCTCTGCCCTCCATAGGAAGTGTTAGTGTCCACGAGCATAAACTTTATTTATGCCAGTAGGTACAGCATAGCTTCTTCTCATTGTTTCACAAATAACGCATTCTACTTCAATTCACATAAGTGTGCATTCTAACAGCTCAACTCATAGTTAAAGCTAACGACGTTAAAGAACCAACAAAAAGTTTATAAATTTATAAAATGTTGCCTGCTCTCTTAGCTCTATTAGTGAGCTAATCAACTGGTATTTGATCCAAACACCGAATTGCGAATGAAATTTGATACCTTTGACGAAATCTTAGCTGTAGATTAGCTAACATCGAACTCAGTCGGACAAACACTTGATCAATATCACGACAACACAGACCAAATCGCATTCAAACATATTGGGCATGCTAAATCACACTGTACCTAATAAATCGAGCTACATTCAAGCAAATCTGGAGGTGCTAGGGTTCATCAAATTGGGGGAAATCAATTTGGATTATCGATTTGACAATATACGTGATGGGTTTCTCAATGGGGATAGCACAGTAGCATAATTAACAAAATTGGACCCCATTAACAGCCAAAAATCAACTCTAACCAAAATCAATCAAAGATGGCACCTTTACTGAAAGCGCGATGAATAGGAGATGAGCAACAGAAAGTGATAGTGACAGAATAAAGGAAGTCAATGAAGCCAAGCCGTTGCCCGTGAGCTGAATGTGGCGGGAGTGCTCGGAACGGCGTCGTAACGAAGTCCTGCTTGAAGGAAAACGACGATTTGGAGAAGGAAAGGCTGATTTACACATGGACACTTTGTTTAACTTCTGGGCATAGTTGACGCTTGATGGTAATTAACTTTTTTTTTTTATTTTTTATTAGATACATACATATTTTTTTTTTTTTTTTTTTTTTTTGTGGTAATATTATATCAAATATAGTTTTATCAAGATCTATAAATAATCTATTGTTTTCTCATCTATATCTATTGCTATTGAAGGAGGTGATGGAATAATGTAAAATAGTAATTTTGATTGTTTTGTAATTAAATAAGTTGACTTACTATTAAAGAAAATATAAAAAAAATTTACTTTCATATTTATGACTAACATATGAAAATAAAATTATGCATACGTAAATCGTGCAATTCAGTTACTAGACCGATTTTCTATAAAAATAAAATTTTATCAATTTAAAAAAAAAATTGTGATAGTTATCAAAAAAAAAAAATTGATTCTTTGTTAATTACGAACTAGTGCGTATCCCGTGCGATGCACGGGTAAACGATATTAAATAATAATTATAAATAAGTATCGAGTTCGAGTCACCCAATGAAAGAAGTGGGGAACCACTATTGATCCTCTCTTAAAAGAGCAAGAAAATATATTATAAATTAAAGATGAGGGTAAATGATATTAAATAATAATTATAAATTAACGATGTGGGTTAACATGTCATATAATTTACAGTATATCAATTTATTATAAACTATATAAAATTAGTTTGTTCAAGAGAACTGATATAGGATATTATACTAGACCCGGTTTAATGGATAAAGCGGATACATATTGGAAGATAAGCCCACTAAGACATTTAAGCCCAACTTGGGCCCAAAAGGTACACTCCCCCTATAAAAGGGGGCCAAAGTACCTCATTCTCACATTCTCTCCTCATTACATGACTACACTTTCTCTCTCTTGAGCTGAACACTGACTTAAGCATCGGAGGCCCGACGCCGGGGCCACCCCCTGCGTTGGGTTCTGCAGGTGCGGAGGCCGTTTGAGTTGAAGGAGCCGGGTGAAATCTATTCACTTCACTTCCCATTCGTACGCTTTTCCCTACATCAGTTCGTATCAGCAGTCAAGTACGATCGCGATGTCGCCGGGACGAGAAGATGCTGCAAACAAACAACGTGATACCACCTTCAACGATCGATTTCAACAGATTAACTACCGATTTCAAGAGTTGGACGTGCGTTTTACGAATTTGTTTGCCGATCTTTCGACGGGGATCGAGAATGTGTGTTTGACGCCAAACAACGTGGTTGTTACGGAATGACAGACGGACCGTGATGGGGGCGTGACTATCGCGAGGGATACAGAGGCGGTCGTGGGGGAAGCAACCATGTCGGGGCGCCCCGACAGCGATCCCAGCCACCTCTTAACGGCAACGGCGTTGGCGACTATATCGGGTCGGCTAACCCG